GCCTGCTTGCAACATCTATGATTTGTTCAGGTTTTTTTTTTTTTTTTTAAATAACCAGAGCCACTGAAATCAAATGATTCCTAGCCACTATATTCTGACGACAAAGGTTAATTCCACCCACAGCAGCTGGATGTTTTTGAACAGTACATGGAGCAGTGATTGGTTATATTCACAGTAACCAAAGAGGCTCTTCCACCACAGGGAAGTGTCTTTATAATGCCATTAGCAAGTGTCAGACAGAGGCAGAGAGGGAGCCTCGCAGTGATGCCGGATGCCTGTTGGAGAGGACTGCGAGCGAAACTGGGTCACGGGGGGCAGGGGGGTGCTGATGGAGCAGCTCATCAAAGACTGACAGAGCAGAGAGGTGACAAATGCACCCCGCTGATGAGTCATTAGAACTCGGGGACAACGGTGACATTTATAGACTGTACTGCCATGGGCAAACGTTTTGGCAGCGATACAGATTGTTTTCTAACTTTGCTCACATTTTTTTTCTTTTTACATGTTTCTGAGGTACGATGGAAATTTATGTATACGGTCAGTATTTACAGTGTCGACCTGTTTTAGTCAGGACTCCTGTAATTTGCTCTGGCATGCTGGAAATCAGCTTCTGGGCCAAATCTTGACTGATGGTGTCCCATTCTTGCCTTATCAGTGCTTGGAGTTGATCACAACTTGTGGGCATCTGCTCATCCACCTGCTTTTTGATGATCGCCCATAAATTCTCAATCAGATTGAGATCTTTGAAGTCTTTGATTCAATAAATAGTTCTTTCAGGTGGAATATTCTTAGCAGGAATCTGCTTTTATGTCAGGCCATTATGATATAAAGCAATGATGGCTACATGAGATTCTTTGGGAGTAACCATTGCTAATCTAAGACAAATGATTCAAAGACCACCTCTCTTTTATAGCGATCAAACTGTGCTTAGTACTTACTGCAAACAGTTCTGAGACTTGAAATGAATGATAATTCACACTTTCCTCTGCACTGCTGATATATCAAAAAAGAGGTTCTGATTATTTGTCGGGGCCAAAATACAGTAAAAATTGGGATGTTGTGCCAATTTAGCTCTTTAAAGTTTATTAAAAAGCCCGTGATTACTCTGCACAGTAGCATTTAGACAATCTGATGCACTACCAAAATCGCTGAACCGGCAAAGTTTGTAAAATGTGATAATCGCACCTCTGCCAAAACCTTTGACCATGACTGTAGAGAATAGGATGTGGCTCGGCAGAGCACTCCATGCCAACACTACAGGCGGATTCACTAGTTGTCAGAGATCAGTCTGCATTTTTAAAGTATTTGGGTTTATTACTTAGACTTGTGTGTGGTGTTGGTGTGTTTTTTTTTTTTGTTTGTTTGTTTGTTGTTGTTGTTTTTTTTTTACTTTGTTATAACTGCAGTTTTTGACATGTATCCTCTGGCAAATGACCCCTAAACCAGAAATGGTAGTTTTAGCCAAGCATGTACAGACACACTGTCCCACATCTGCACTGAGTAGTTACACATATGGACACTTAAAGGGCTTAACTATGCTTTTACCTAAAGAACACTGGTTGTATTATCAACAATAGAGGAGAGTGAATCTCTCTTCATCTTAGCAGAGACATTATTTCTACCATCTGCAGAGTTCCCGTCTCTAGCTGCAGGATATGCTGGGCATTAATGCACTTCAGAGTGAGCAGGAGTACAGTATTGTCTGTTTTGCTGCATCATTGCTGCAGTGTTCTTTTCCCAGTTTTTATTCCAGCCCTGATTTCTTTATTATGGGTACAGAGGCATAATGCTGCCACTTAGGATTTGTTATACAGCCACTTACTATACTTTCTCTAGATAAACAACACAGATACATTTTATTTTGAATATAAATTTGTGTCTTAGCTTCACAAACTGCAGCTGCTGCAGTGGTTAGTTTATTGGGGTTGCTGCTGAGGTCATCTCATTTCTGCAGACTTGAAAGGCATTTTTTGTGCATGGGTGTTTTTGGGTGGCGGAGACCCCCCCCCCCCAGATGGGGTTTGATTTTGAGGCAACAGATCAGCTTTTCTGTTGACCTACTCTTTTGATTGTTTATGGTAAAGGGGGGAGAGAGAAGCTAGCAACGTTACAGCCCACAGAGAGCAGTGTAGCTATAGGTTGTGTGGCTGTATTCCCACCAGCACCTGCTGCATAGCCAAAGCCCGCCTATCATGCTAATTTGGTTGGTAAAATAACGGCCGGTCCTTGCTGCTGCTTCACTGACTCGAGAGAGTAAACGTGTGGAAGCAGTATGCCAGTATGCTTCCCCACTACTGAGGAATTGCAGTTAACACTTTTACCTTCTGTCCTTTACGCCCCCTCCCTCGTTTTCATTATCTTTATTATTAGAATCTGCTGCTAGTGGCTAAAATAAATTGCTCAGCTCTCTGTCCTGCCAGCAACCATTAAGGGCAGCCCAGGTCCTTCCAGCTGCAATGGTGTAATGCTTAGGCAGGTTGAAACCGGAAGAGTGGTGTCATCAGAATAGGCCATATTAATGCTCCCAAGCATCAGTCCAGTTGTCAAACACGGGGGGGTATTTCTGTGTAGTGTACCCTTAAAAGTGGCAAATGCTTCTTGCTGACTTTGGGTTAGTTGCTCAATAGGTGGAGCAGGACTGTGTGGACATTTAGCGCGAGCTGCTGAAAATGCTGAACAGAAGTGAGCTCTAAAGTCAAAGCTTCTATAGACTGAATGGACTCGGCTATAGAAATGAGCATACAGCTAACAGTGCCTAAAATACATGCGTGTGGCAAGTACTCAGAAGTGACAGCCTCAAAGTGGCCTGGCTGTACAAACAGCTCAACGCGTGCTACCTTTTGCCTTTTTTTTTTTTTTTTCCCCTTCTATCTGCTGGATACCAGCTTTGTAATGTAAATGAATGGGATAACACATTTTACAGTCTGCTGATGACTTGGCCAGAGTGTTCTTGAACAAAGTTTCACTTTCACAAGTGACTCAGCACTTCACAGCTTTATTTCTCAACTTGACAAGCTGTGCCAAGATCACTCTGAAAATGTGATTTTAAATGTCACCCTTTTCAGAATGTTTATCAGGACGCCTGCTGAAATAACCTCTGAACCACTTTGATAAATGTGAGGGGTTTTTTTCACGTCTGTTTTACGAAGGGAAAATGTTTTGCAGCTCAAACTTAACACATAGTGTAAAACTAAGACTTCTTTTGTGGAGCCTGGTTGCACCAGCTGTTCTTAAGCTCCGACTTAGTCTAGTTCAGGTTGATGGCCTGACATTTTGTTTCATCTAAAGTACCTCTTTGCTCATCTAGCAGTACTTTTTGTTACATAATTTATTAGTTTTGTTTTTTAACATGACAGATCATCATAACCATTTGTGTGTACACTCAAATGTGAGATCTATTTGATAGTATTACCTGTGAAAATGTCTCTCTGGGGCTGTTGGAATGACAGAAGCGCTTGGTTCACTGATTATTCAGTGATGTTGGAGTGATGCCTCTTTACCTCATAAAAGATCTTCGGCTAACAGCAGACTGTGTTGTCTGCGCCTACCGGCTGCAGTGAGGTCACAAACCCAACAACAGCCACTTTCATTTTGTCCTGTCATCAATTTAAGTCATGGATACTAAAATTGAAAACCAATTGCCTTCCCATCAAACAATCCCATCGGGTCCAGCCTAGAGTTGATGGTGCTGATGTGTTGCAATGAACTAAGTGCTGTGGTCTGTGCTCGGTCCCTCTGCTAGCTGCCTCGCCTCCCACTGACTGCCAGGCTAGTTATTAATAGGATGTGGATGGCTCTGTCTGAATGAGGAAATCAGGTTGCCTTCCTGTAAATATTGCATGATTTCCCTTGAGTCGGTGTGGAATGCCAAAGAGGAGGAGGCAGTGGAGATTTTTATTTATTTATTTTTTCCCCCTTAAAGCCCTGCTGCTGTCAGGCAGCAATGTGACTGGTCCAAAGGCATGTTTGGACTTCAGATTAAACCTCATTACATGGTTGTCAGGAACCAGCCCAGTTATTTTTAATCTCAGTGGAACCTGTTGGGCACCATAACTGGCCTGCTCCAAACTTCACTGTCCCGTGACTTTGTTGTCATTCTTGTTTCACTGAAAAATGCGAGAACACGTTGTTATTATTTAGTATGAGCTTCCTTGACTTATTTTAACACAGGCAGAAACACTCGCTCTTCACTGGCTGATTGACCTGTCTGTGCGTTTCCCACAGTACTTTTCACTATCATCCCTTGAGCAGACTGAAAGAGGATGTGATGTCTTCGCCAGAGTACTCACTCCATGCACAAAACTGTCAAACATTTTTTGATCTTTGGTGTTATAAGAGTATAAATCATTTCTGATAAATGTGAATCCCAGCTCCTTTATTTTGTTTGCCTCTCGCTCGACCGGGAGGTTGTTCCAGACCGCCATGATGAAGGATGTCCTAAAGCTCGTATTGCTCTGAGGAGTGAGGAGGTATAGCTGAGGATATATGAGGGTATCCTTTGTGGAAGTCTGTTACGGATTGACATGCCCATTTGTCAGAATTCACTTTGATTGGATGTTTCACATGAAAGCACGAGGAAAGGATGCCTCGTCAGTTAAAACACATTTCCTTGGTTCTTCTCTCCTGGCATCGTACATGGGTGAGACTAAGATGCAAGTGAGGGGAGACGTGGATGCAGTGAGGTGAATTGGGATTCAGCTGTAATGTTTCTGCAGTAAAACATACAGTAAAATGCTAAGTGGTATCAAACCAGATTGAATTATTATTCAAGATAACACACTATAATTAGTTGAACAGGAAATGAATCGGCAGCTAGTTTGATAGTTTGCCATCTTTAAGAGTAAAGTGAACATCTTTGGGTTTTTGACTGTTGATAGACAAAAAAAAAAAAACCTCATAACTATTGTTGAATATTCTTGGACAACGATAAGAAGAACTTGAAAATAAAAGCTGTGTGTTCAGGTCTTCACTGAGCTCTGACTCTGGTTATCCACCCTCAGGTCCTGTGGTCTATGTGCTGGACCTGGCTGACCGGCTCATCTCTAAGGCTGGACCCTTTGCTGCTGCTGGCATCATGGTGGGCTCCATCTACTGGACTGCTGTCACCTATGGAGCGGTCACTGTCATGCAGGTACAGTATGACCAGTGAGAGGCTGGTGTGTCAGCAGATTAAATCAGTGTATGCAAAAGCAGTTTCACACACCATGCACATACAGTATTTCTGATGGAAGGTACCCCCTGTTTACAAAACTGCAAATGATATGCATGTGGTTAAAGCACTGGTCAGATCTGCATAGTGTTTTGTGTTCACTGTCCAGGTGGTGGGCCACAAAGAGGGCCTGGATGTGATGGAGCGGGCCGACCCTCTGTTCCTGCTCATTGGCCTGCCCACCATCCCCGTCATGCTAATCCTGGGCAAGATGATCCGCTGGGAGGACTATGTGCTGCGTCTGTGGAGGAAGTACTCGAATAAACTGCAGATCCTCAACAGCATCTTCCCAGGTCAGGACCCGCACTTGGTGTGCAAGACCCAGCATCTTTTTGACTTGTTTCTTATTTTTGTAACAGTATATTTATCTTCATACAAAAATATTAGCACAACTACAGCCTTATGTACAGTAAGGTGAACACAAAACGACTGCATCTGCACCAATGTACACATTAAGACTGCAGCAGTAGTAATAAACTGAAGGGAAAGCATAATGAACTGAGTGGCTTCAATCAGATTGGAGCCCATCTTTTTTTTTTTTTTTTTTTTAAAAATCAAGGATTAAAAGCTGAGAAAATATGGCAGAGTAGTCGTACCGCTCAGTAGCTTTACATGGTCAGAGTGGTTTCAGTTATTCTTTTGTTTGAATTGGTCACAAACTCTAGTTCATCAGCTTCGTCAAACTTGCACTTTTGTTTTTCTTTTAAAACAAATCTCAAGTCAGTTTAAATAACCCATTGACTTTCTGCTGCTGTTTGTTGATTAATGTCCGTCTAGATTATAGACATTATTCAGGTGTCCCCTCACTGAGAGAGGATCTGATCAGGATCAGAGCAGATAATCGCATAATAATCATCATAATAATAATCACCTTTATTTGGCCAAGTATGTTACACACAAGCAATTTGTTTTCGGTACAGAACCAAGGCAGCCATCTGCGGCTCCAACTCACCGATGGCTCTAACCACCGGGGGCAACTTGGGGGTTCAGTGTCTTGCCCAAGGACACTTGGACTGCAGGCACCGAGATTCGAACTTCCAACCCTCTGGTTGGGAGACGACTGCTCTACCCACTGAACCCCCAGATCCGTGATAAGAACCAGAAGTCATGTCACAGTGAGCTACTGGTTGAATTGGCACAAGCTGTGGTGAAGTAAAAGTTGTTCTGCACCAAATATCGGCTTTGTTACTGCCTCTGGAGCTCGTGCAAGTGTTGCTCGCTCACCCATGCACAGTAGCGTCACCATTTTTAAACAAATCAGTGGGGTTTCTGTGACACATGAAAGTGTACATGTAGCTGAGGCTCAGCTACAGCTGACTGACTCATGTCTCCACCACCCAAAAACTACATTTACACATATTTGCCATGGCTCATCCATGCTGGGCTCTGTGTTCTCTTCAGGGATTGGCTGTCCAGTTCCTCGTATCCCCACGGAGGCCAGCCCCCTAGCAGACCACGTCTCAGCCACACGAATCCTGTGTGGCGCCCTGGTCTTCCCTACCATCGCCACCATAGTGGGGAAGCTCATGTTCAGCAGCGTCAACTCCAACCTGCAGAGGACCATCCTGGTGGGTACGACACTCATCAGCCCAGTTAAGATGATAGGCCGGAGTGTATCTTTGACAAGTTGTTAGTTACATCTAGCTTGTCCCACAGTGGTGGAATTATTTCAGATTAACCATAAATAATAGCATCATACTATCATCAGCCCAAAACAAAGTCCGTTATTTTCATTGTAATACAGTCACAGAACACGGCAGGATGACAAGTGGCCTCGATGGCTTTAGCCAGACTGTGGAATTAGCTTCTAAAAAGATCTTAAAGATCGAGTCCAAAGAAATTTTGACAGGAGCATCCAATTCACATGATTAATTTGGCATGGTTTTACGCCGGATGCCCTTCCTGACACAACCTTCTCTATTTATCTGGGCTTGGGACCAGTGCAGAAATCATTGACATGAATCCCCTGTGGCTAGATACACAACTTGACAGGAGCATATATAACCTCATTAAAATTAAATCAGGAGAATTGCAGCCTGCCTTCCCCTGTATTCATCTTGCTATAGGTGAGCTAAATATCTGTTCAGGGTTGAGGACTGCACACCAGGAAGCCAGGCCTGAAGGAATTTTCCACACCTTCATTCACATTTCCACCCTACAAACCCAAGTAAAATGCTTTAGAATACTCTTTACTCATAGCTGGTCAAGAGGCAACCAGGAAGATGTCTGTGGGACATACGAGGGCTGTCATACATGTGACAGTCACATGGAAATTAAAGCAGCTCTTTCTGAAGCCATGAGTGTGGAGAAGCTTTATGTTGCGGTGCATCTGTCTTCAAACACTACCTCAACAGCTCTTTTTCCCCTGACAGGGAGGCATCGCCTTTGTGGCCATTAAAGGAGCCTTTAAGGTGTACTTCAAACAGCAGCAATACCTGAGGCAAGCCCACCGTAAGATCCTCAACTTCCCTGAGCAGGAGGAGGCCTGAGGAGAGGGACGACGGCCGGATGAGCCACCCACCTCAGCAGCACGAAGGAGGGGGAGATGAACCTGTCAGGAAGTGCTGGTCAGACAGACTTTGGATCAGCATCATTTGCCTATTCCCCCACCCCTTGAACACCCCTCACCCCCGGCACTCGGTGCGAGGTATCTCGACCACCACCGCTACATTGTTTTTAAACTTCAGACACTTTGAAGATGGGCAAGACTGTTTTGCAGTTACATTCTCTCTCTCTCTCTCTCTCACACACACACAACTATTCCAAGAACTCATGCAGGGTGGATGTTTCAACAATCACAACACTTATTGTGAACTTGTATTTTAAAGAACAGTATAGGGCATGTGTATTTAGAAAGTTTTATTTTATTTGATTTTTTTTTTGCAGATTTGAAAAGGGTTTCTATTGAATGACGAATAATGTTCAATAATGTGGGATGTACTAATTAAATAATGTTTTAACAGTTGTCTGTCGTGATACAGGAGGCATTAAGGGAATATTTCTTATATAGTGACTGAACTATTAACCTAACCCACTGACCACAGATCAGATATTAGAGGTGTGTGTTTTAGAACCTGCATTATTTGAGTGACGTTTCATTCCTTTTCTTTCTTATGCCTTAGCAGTGTTCACAGTGATTGTCATTGTAGCTCCATGTGGTCTTAGTATTCACCCATCACAGCCCTCCAAGGTTTGGTTGAGCTCCATGAAACCGTCTTTACAAAATGTGACGATAACATGGATGTTTGTCCTTTCAGAATTTTTCAGTGACTGAATGTGATACTGAAAGCTTCAGGTACTTAGCATGTGAAGGAACCTTTTTTTATATGTCCCAACATATGATCAGACTCTTGTTGCCTGAATGTAACTGGGGACAGCAGCAATTAAGTCACTGGTACATTGGCATTTGTGGATATTAAAGGGACAGTTCACTGAAATGGCACACCATACTTTCTCACTTAAGACTAGTGAAATGTAGCTATGCAGTTTATGATTTCTGCTTCCACCCAGAGATGTGATTTGTATTATTTTTTAATTGCACTGAAAAATTACATTTTAATTAAAATAACCCTATTGATCATTTCTAATACTTAAATGCTATTAACTATGCAGGAGAATGCATTGGTATAGCAGTTAAAATCTCAAAGCCTGGACAAGGAATGGTACAGTGTCTGTGTGAGAGGTAGTTTCAGTGAACTGACTCTTTCACATAGCACCACAGGAAAGTAAATGCATTTGTTTTAAACCATTGGAGCATGTGATTACCAATTTAACTTTTCCATGTGGCAGAATTGCAGTTTGTGGGACAGAACCATGGTGTGGGTTGCTGTTTCCTGCCTCTCTGGGAAGTATGAGAAACTATAGTATGACTTCATGTGGACAGACAAAAGTACTACTTGAAATATTTAACCTGCACCTATAAACTGGACTTGCTTTATATCTATGAACCACAGCTTCCCCCTGTACATTTAAAGGCTCTGCCAAACGAGATGTGAACTGTGTTGTACAGTTATTGCTTCAGACTTTTGGGTTCTGTTGTATCCGTTCTGTGAATGTATTTTTCCAAATGTAGAAGTGCATGTGTTAAGTGCTGGGAAGGGAGAGGCTGCAGCAGAAATGCACACACCGTTCCATTAAACTGTTTAATTAGAAACAAAACAAACTCAAAACTTCAGCACTCATCAGTGGCCCATGAATTCAACCAGCCAAATCAGTCTTGTTGCCAGACATCCAGAATCTCAAAATAAAAATCTGATTTTCTAAATGTAAACCTGTCATTAGGTTCTTAACAGGATAAACAGTGTGAGGCCCACCCAAGTCTGATATGTAATGTTGCTAATTTTTTCCGTGAAACTGGCTTCGTCACACCCCCAGGCATTGAGCTACTGCCTGTGGGAGTCCAAGACGACTGCTGGTTGTCTTTGGGTCAAATGTTTTTACACAGTAGCACTTGGTAATGAAGGGCCTTAACTGTAAGTAACAAAAAAAATTTTGAAATGGTTTTGATCTGACATAGTAAAATGCTGGAAAACACTGGGCAAGCTTTAGATAGGCCCCCCCTTCTTATTCTGCCCCATACTTTTCCCTGTCCACATCATTAAGTTTATTGCTTAGAGAAGTGCATATATTCAGAAGAAAGTCCAGAATGGAGCTTTTCTCCAACCCCCTTCTGCCATCAACCTGAACTGTCTCAGAGAAAAAGGCTAGCTTTACTGGAAGAGCCTAAGCTCAGTCATGCAGTCTGGGTGGGTGACAGGGTGAGATCCTGGAGCATTTTACCCTGGATCAAACAGGGAGCAGCCCAGTGCAGCTGCATACAAATAAACCGATTCCCCTTGGAAAGGCACAAGCTGCAGAAAGTCTCACATTCAGACAGAGTGCAGAATGAAATGGGGGGGACTATTTTAAAACAAAACTTGAAGACCAATAATTTAATCACATTAAGTGAACAAGGAACTAATGTAGATGAGACAAAAGCTGTTTATTTCAAATCGATCACTAATATCTAATGTAAAAAAGAAAAAACAGCATGGAGGTACCCCTGAGATCTCAATTACATACTACTGTAAAATGAAGTAAAATATAAAAACATGATTCGTGAGTGGATCTCCACGATTATAGCAATTTAAAACAGCTTCTCCAAGGGTCCCAACATTTTACTAGTCTACAAACAAAAGCATTTCAAAACCTGTGAGGATTAAAACTAATTATAAGGCAGTTATTTGTCAAATGCATACATGAGAATAAAATACTCCATCTGAATGAGCACATTTCCTGACAGTGTTTGCAGGAGCGTTATGGTGCCTCAGTTACATGGCGAACACCAGTCTGACAGATAAAACCTTCACAGAAATACTATCTTTAATCTCTACAGCCTCCAGTTCATCACAAACCCGCTATCAATTTCCAAAGCAGCATATCTGAATAACAAATAAAAAGCCTCCTACTCTGAAGCTTCTGTAGTATACTGGAGCCCCTTTTTTTTTTTTTTTTTTTTTTTAGGTCTAGTTCCTCTACAACAGTCTACACAGTATTGTAATGCGTGAGCATGTCATCTCCTTTTGGAGACTTTAACATGAGGTGAGCCTGCTGTGACCTCTATCATCACAGCTACGTCGACAACCACGGCTAACTTGGTGATTCAAATACACGCATTTGTTTCCACAGTGTCTGATAGTGGCTCCAGCCTGACAGATAGTGTCCACACACACGTTCACATGCACCCACACAAAACACATATGCTCATGCAGGCTCAATCAAATGAAAGTCTGACAAGAGGAGAAGGGAGGGGGTGGTGTAGGTGGGAAACTGAGCATGGTCCCTCAGCGGTCACCTTCCCCGGCGCCACCATGCTGCTGTGTTGACCTGCCGGTCTTGCTTACAGTTTGGCGGCCATGAAGTTGATGTGAGGCTTGACCAGGGGGAACAGAGGCAGACTCCTCTTGAACTCGGTCATGTCCTGAACCAATGTGGGCTGGGGGGAGGCAAAAGAACCAGTAGGTATTCTGCTTTATATCTATACAAGTATAAGACGATTTACCATAAGACCATCTAATTTTTATGCAACCCTCACTCATTCAGCCAGGAGCAGACGTGCATTTGGATTGGGGATTAATGCACATTTGGTGGTCTAGTGAGTCTTTACAGCTGCAGCCACATCATGCATGCAGAATTGGGTCAGACTAAACTAGAGTGTACCATGAACTCACTGTAGTAATGAAGGAGCATGTCCCTCAGTGCAACGTGGTTGTTCACTGATGTAGTTCTAACAGTTTGTGGATAGCAACAGAGTAGAGGTCTTCACAGGTCCACTCAGTTCCGAGAAATCGAAACCTGACTCAGAATCTGAGCCAGGTCAGGTTCAAATTTTGATCAGCCTAATCAAGTCGGGTCTTGGGTCTGTATGTCATTATATCCAATACCCGAGTGGATGCAAATGGAACCATGAAGACCTCTACAATGGAGCTCTCAAAAGGACTAAGATACATCAAGCTTTGGATAATAACAGCTGAGATCATAGCTGTTAGTAGAATGGAATTATTGAGATTGGACAACAACTACAGAATATCACCAGGCTTATACAAGTCTCCTTTTGGAGATTTGAACTTTGCCTTCTGGACTTAAATTGCCTCATTCAAGTTTTAAAAATATCAGAACAAAGTAAACATTAGGAAAGCAGGAGCATTATGCAAGAAGCCTAAACAGAGAACATTACCTGTGGGAGGGACGGAGCAGGGGCCAGATTGACATCATTCTGAGCAGGAAACTCCCCCACTATTGGACCTGGTACAACACACACAGTGACAATGTGTGTCAACATGACAATGAGTGAAGCCACTGCAGTGATGGCCATGCAAGCGGCATGTGTCTGTGGATACTCACAGGAGTCCATCTCTCTGGACAGGACGTGCACAGACACCTTGTGTCTCTTCGGGGCGTCAACTGTTAGCCGCTCCTGCACAGACAGACAGGTAGGTGGGGCATGACATAGATGTCACTGGGCAGGTATTTTTCATGAGAAATTGCATCAGTACTATGATACAGTTCATTATGTAAAAGCTCGCATAAATAGACATTTATATATGTTTGTTGGGTGGAGGGGGGGAGACCATCACTGTATTCAAGACTTTGGAGAAGAGCATTGCTACCATGCTACCACAGGAGAAGAAACTTGGTGCAGCTGTGTATTTTTCCATCTATTGTTTCTAGATGGAGAATTACATTCAACTGAAGATTTGGCTCATCTGCAGTCAGATCGCATCAACGCTGGCGACCAAAAATCGGGAAAGAAAAAAAGCTTCTGCAATTGCTGCTGATAGGACGTCAGGAGCGCACTATCCTGCATGGGGTGTGTAAATGTTTCTGCAGGGCTGAGATAGTGCCAATTCTTTTCAGCGGCCATGTGTGTTTGACCCTTTATCCTGCTTAAAGTAGGCTGGCTGTCATTATGGAAGCTGATATGCTGTGAGCACCCAGTGTCAGTGTCACCCCCACACTATGAATGGAGATGAAAGCTGGGAGGGCACAGTGAAGCCAGTCACGGTTAATACAACTCTGGTTATCTACAGAACATAATGGTATCATCAGACTCTCCTTTACCCCTGTCTTCTACATTAAAACCTAAATATGGGTATTTTTTTGCCAGATAACCAAATAATAAACCCTTGCAAAAAATTTGGTAAAATATATATTAATACAAATATGATGTAATACAAATAAACAGAATAAATTGCATTTTAAAATTATCTGCAGTAAACCAGTAATGGCCTGAACCAAGAGGTGAGTGTGGAAGTAGAGGACAGCGATGTGTGTCCCGCTGTATGTGGAGCATTCAAGGGAAGAGCCATCAAATTACCTAACATGGTACTACTTACTCTGTAGAACTGCATTATGTTTTCTTTTGTCAAGGTCTTCAGATATGACACTTCAATGTTATCTGCAACACAGAAGACACAAGTGGTAACATGATCCGATTCAGGCTCATAACTGCTGTAGCAGAGCAGGTCAAACACCCGGGGCTGCACACGGAGTTCATTTTAGCCAACGCAATAAGGCTGGTGTAAACCTGAGATTACTGCTGAGGAGGGTGAGCCTCTGTGCAATGTAGTCAGGGAAGCAAACTAAAAGGCCAGATGCCACTAGGGGGAAGCATGAACATTATCATTTTGTTTTATATATTTACTGGTTGGTAATTTGGCTGAAGAGATCAACAAGACAATAATACAGTAACAACCCTGCAGACAATGTTTTAAAACTGGTTTTGAATTATTTCATGAAACGGTGAAATTCCTAACTAGACTTATTCTTGTACAGAGGAACTACGGCATCTACAGTAACATGCAGGCTGAAAACAAGTGTTTTCATCATTGTATTATCTGTTGCCTTGTTCTTATTTATTTGTCTCCTGATTTTGTTTTTGTAACAATGTACCTTGTTAACAGCATTGCAAGGAATTCACTGGACTGGATTTGGAACTGCAAAACAATGCACCACTAGGAAGACTTTTCAAATCAAGGGTCTCTACTGCCATGAATAGCCTGATGACGAACCTCTTTCTGCACAAAATATGAGACTAATGAACCAGCTAAGGGAAACCTGACCATCAAGCAGCTCAGTCTCACAGACTGTGTGGAAGTTGTCTAATGATGTGTGGTGCATGTTTTTCTATGCCCTTTGTAGAGAGTGTGTTAGCAACCCTCACTAACACACCCTCATTGGTTATCAGTAATCACCACCACTTCCTTGGCAACTTTTCAATGTTACCATCACTCTGGGCTTTAGGCAGATTACCAGTGAAACTGGCCCATTACAACGCATCATGGCACTCAGGAGTGTGCTGAAGGAGAGAAGTGTGGTACGGCTGCAGATTATTCCAGGCTTTAATCGAGTGCAGTTTGTGCGGCTTTAAGCAGCATCCTGATCAAATTAGTGATAACTTATATTTGACTTTCTCTGTAACACAGGCTCTTCCTAACAACTGGTAGATCAGAGAGGGCTTCACCTCTGTCAAAATTATACTGCTGAGAGATGATCTCTCCCCAGTACTTGGCGCACTCAGCAGACAGCTTCTTAGGCTTGTCCAGGCGGCGGATGGCTAGGGCCTGGATGTGTTTCTGGAAAGCTTCTTCATTCATCTCCTCCAGAGCCTTCTCCATGGTGCAGAGAAAAGCCTCCACACGGCTCTCCAGGTAGTGGGGCGCCTTCTCCGACTGGATGATAAAGCGCAGACCTTGAACTCCATTAGCCCGCCGGGGCCCGCTGAACACAATGTAGCCTGGGGTGTGGAGAAAGGACATAGCACCTGAAGTTTGTGCAGAAACACTGTCCAAATGGTTAACTTCATCACCTTATAATCATCTACGCAAGCCTGTTAAGACTGGAAAAAAACTTAGAAAAAAATCAACTGGACTTAGATTTCTAGATCGAAGACGTTTAACCTCTCATCCTAGAGGCTGATGAAGCCCTGAGGTTTTTTCAGTTTACTACCTGGATGACTGAGAATCTGCACAGACAAGCCTGTTAAGAGTTTCAAAAACATTTTACAGGGAGGACTTTGTCAGGCGTTTGTCTTCTCACTTCATTCTTACCTTTCTCTCTGTATTTATCTAGATATTATTAGGTCTGGCACATTACAGCATTGCTTCCAAGAAAATTTGGCTTACAGGCACAACCCATTTATTACCAAAGGTAAAGTGTACCATGGCTTACAGCACTTTATACACTTTACTTACACAACTTCTAGTCCTTATAGAACAGTATCTTATTGGTAGATTAAAGCAACACCATTTTCAAAGAACTTGAAAGCAATTTTAATGAGTGAAAACCCTCTCCATGTAATTTTCGACACCCTGCGGGCTCACCCAGCTGTTCTTTGGTTCTCAGTGTGTTGAAGCATGGTTCAGAGATGATCTGACAGAACAGCTCCAGCAGCATGTTGTCATGGGTGGTTTGCATGTCTGTCTGGTAGTAGATCTCAATGCCACAGTTGTTGTGCACATCATTCCTTTGCTGATAAACATACCAGCCACCTGAAGGGAACAGAGGAAAATGTGTCATCAGTAACTGTAATCACTCAAAGTAAACACATTCACTGTGAAATGCATTGTTGAAGCAGCAAAAGGAAAGGCTCCTGAGCTAGGCATGAAAAACCAAACGAACATTTTTATGCAGATTAAAAACTAAAGATAAGAAAATGTATTCTGTGTGTATACAGTAGGGAAATAAAAACCACACACTTCATTGTTCAATACTGATGTAACAGCTGACAGATCGTGTGTTTTAGCAGCTTTTGCTTGATGTATTTCTCTAGATCGGTGGAGCTCTGGTTAGAACTAGTGTGAACTTTCATTGTCTTGGTGGATTCTGTGGAATGTTTTATGCACATAGCTCCAAAAAACTGACTTGAACCTAAAACAGACTTCAAATGGCAGCTAAGGGCATAAAATGCCAATGA